CTTAGCGTCCACGCCTAGCCATGGTAGAGAATCAGAAATGTCCACAGGCCCTTCGACTCCAATCTGGCTGCTGAGCGAGGGAAGGACTGGAAGCTTGGCTGGATACAGAGATCTGAAGTCTCGATCCAGGATGCGATCCAGGGTGGCCGGGCCTATGTTCCATATCGGGACCAGGCAGCGTCGGCAGCACCATGTAGCGTTCCATTTGCGCTCCCACCAGGCCAGGGCTCGCTTGTCGATGGGGGGCAGTCCAGCTTGCTCGGGAACGCCTATGCCTTCCGCCGGCTTCCATATGAAACATCCCAGGGGCGGGGAGCCAGGGTCCCAGACGAGGAGCGGGGCCCCCTGGGGGCATGTGTCGCGCCGCGCGGAGTAGATCTGGGTCTGCGCGGCTTTGAGGCCGAAGCGCTCGTCCCGGATCCGTAGGATGGGAATGGTGGTATTGGCTCGCTCGGGGATCTTCATGCCCGTCGGCCCCATGAGGAGGTCCGCTAACGTCCTCGTGTCCGCCAGGGGGCTGCATCCAAAGCCGAGTGGAAGGTGTCCCAGGGAAGGGAGGGCGCTCGCCTTGTCGTTGTTGGCGCCCGTCCTCTGCTGCTCATGCTCCTTGACTCTGTCGGCGAATGTCGCTCCTGCCGGCGTTGGGAGGCCCTGTTCCTCCAGGTGGCGCAACCAGCAGATGTCGCAGTGCCACCCCATGTTGGCGCCGTTGATGTAGGCCTGAGGCCTATTCTGAGCGACCATCTGGCGCGTGATGTCGGAGATCCAGGTGCCATCGGCGGAACGCAGATGGTCCGTTCCGCACCTGTCGCACATGAGTATGCCGTTGTTCTGCTCGAGTGCGAGCCTCTCGTCGGGGATGTATGGAGGGTCCAGTCTGGTGCCTGGGGCGGGGGTCGGCGGCGGGGGGGCATTGAGGTCGGTGTTGGACAAGGCAAGTCCGCCGCCGATATAGAAAAGACCCGCAAGCCGATCGTCTGGACCCAAAGAGGCGTCGGTCCCCGCCAGCGCGACGTGTAGCGCGCACACTGAGCAGCTGCGTGTACCCAGGGAGGTCAGAGTTGCGGCCGGGACGATTTTTTCGAGGACGAGCATAGGCGTTTTTAACTGAAAGTCCTGCCTGTCCATCTCGCTCCAGGTCTGCGGGCAACCGGCTGCCCGCGCAATCGGGTGGCGATGCGCCAACGCCACGAGCTTGGAGATGTGGGGCAGGACCGCCTCGATGGGTCCGTGTAGGTCGGCAAGGTCGTCCAGCGTGAAGCTCCAGGTTCGGGCGAATTGGCTTCGGAAATCCTGGTGAACCTCTTGCCAGGGGACACAGAACCCCAGGATGGCTTCGATGACGTCCCCGGCCTGCTCTGCATGAGGGAAGGGCCACAGAAACACTCGCGGCTCGCGGAGCATGAGCATCATGACGACCAGAAGCGACCGGGCCTTGCAGGATTCCATGGGGAGGCCGTCGGTGTCCATGATTCCCTCACGGAACTCATCCATCATGGAGCCGCCCAGAGCGCCTCGGAGGATCTCTCCCAACCCGGCCATTCCAGGGTGCTTCCTGTGTCTGCAGCAGTCCTTGGTGGCGGTGCTCCACGCCTTGCTGGTGGGTATACGCGAAGCGTCTAGAATTCCTCGTATTTCCTGGATAGCCCTCTGTCCCCCTTCACCCAAATCATCCCGGATGTTCCTGCAATTCCGCGCTTGCTTGTGAATGCGCGTGCTATTGGGGAAAACATAAAGTATCGATACCGCTACTCCCCGGACCTATCCCGGGGTACGTTCTGACCAGGATTTCGAAGCAAATCCAGCGGTGGCGACGAGTGCCTCCGCGGATAGGGTAGAGGTAGAGGTAGAGGTATGGGTACATTGTCCTACTTTGAGTTTTTCCTTCCTAGGAACTGGTGACTACGCCCGACGAGGCGGCAACCTTGAAGCGATGGCCCATGCAGACCGCCAGCGTGGCACGCCGCGTGGGAATGCGGGCAGTCCTGCGCGCGCCCTCACGCGGGCAGCCCCGCACGCCCCCTCCGAACGCCCCCCAGCCCCCGGGGGTCCCTCGGCTCCGCGGACCGGCTGGGAGGTCGCGTGAACCGAGACCTGACCGGACCTGTCGGGGATCTGCTGACCCGGGTCAATTCAAACGGTCAGTCAAGCCTTGCAGGATCCTGCAAAATCCTGGAGGATCCTGCCGGATCCTGCGCCTCAGCCTCGGTCAGTGCGCCCGTGGCCCTGAAACATCCTGCAAGATCCGGTGGTCCAACTGACCCCAGTTTGCATTGACCCCGTCTGCTGAGCCCCGAGGTGGTGCCACCTCCCATCTCCCGGCCATCATTCAGGATCAACTACGGAATTGCTTCACACCAACACGATGTTCCGTCGATTTTACAAAACAAACCAAAATATAGAGTGCCCCGTCGATCTAAGAAACATTCTAAGCATGATTCGTTGTTTCGACGGTAGCATAGATTCTGGTGTAAATGGATTATGTAGTCGATCCCCTAACACCATGCCCCTAAGATTCACAGGGTGAGGATAACAAAGTTCGGGGTCAACGGAAGAATATCAACTTTTCCACGGCACCTCGCAGCATGACGGGCGTTGAAGAGGATGACGAATGTTGCTGTTGTTGTTGATGATGATTAGGGTAAAGGAAAAGGGGTGCGAGGAGCAGATAGTCGTAGTAGTAGTAGTAGTAGTAGTAGTAGTAGTAGTAGTAGTAGTAGTAGTAGTAATAGTAATAGTAATAGTAGTAGAAGTAGTAGTAGTAGTCCTACTAGTAGTACTACTACTATTACTGTTGCTTCGACTAGTATTAAGAGTGGTAGTAGTAGTAATAAGTTCACTACTGGTGGTACTCGTATTCTCAGTCGTAGTCGCAGTCGCAATCGCAGCGGTAGCCATAGTCGTAGTCGTAGCCGTAGTAGTAGTAGTAGTAGTAGTAGTAGTAGTAGTAGTAGTAGTAGTAGTAGTAGTAGTGGCAGTAGAAGTAGTAGTAGTAGTAGTAGTAGTAGTAGTAGTAGTAGTAGTAGTAGTAGTAGTAGTAGTAGTAGTAGTAGTAGTAGTAGTAGAAGTAGTAGTTAGTAGTAGTAGTAGTAGTAGTAGTAGTAGTAGTAGTAGTAGTAGTAGTAGTAGTAGTAGTAGTAGTAGTGGTAGTAGTAATACTGGTGGTGGTAGTAGTAGTAGTAACGGTAGTAGTAGTAGCAGTAGTAGTAGCATTAGTGGTAGTAGTCGTAGGCGTAGTAGCAGTGTAGTCGTAGTAGGTAGTAGTGGTATACCAGTCGTAGTAGCAGTAGTAGTAGAAATAGTAGTAGTAGCGGTATGTGTAACAGTAGTTGCCATTGTCGTAGTAGCAGTCCTGAAAGTAGTAATAGTAGTAATAGTAGTAGTAGTAGTAGTAGTAGTAGTAGTAGTAGTAGTAGTAGTAGTCGTAGCCATAGCATGGGTGGTACTAGTTGTAGTCGTAGTCGTGGTATCAATGTTAGTCGTGGTAGTAGTCGGCGTAGTCGTAGAAGTGGGAGTAGTAATAATAGTCTAAGAGAGAAATAATATTAGTAGTCGTAGTCGTAGAAGTAGTAGTAATAGTAGTAGTAGTAGTAGTAGTAGTAGTAGTAGTAGTAGTAGTAGTAGTAGTAGTAGTAGTAGTAGTAGTAGTAGTAGTAGTAGTAGTAGTAGTAGTAGTAGTAGTAGTAGTAGTAGTAGTAGTAGTAGTAGTAGTAGTAGTAGTAGTAGTAGTAGTAGTAGTAGTAGTAGTAGTAGTAATAGTAACAATATTAGTAGTAGTAGTCGTAGTAATAGAACTAGAGTACAAGTGGTAGTAGTAGTAGTAGTAGTAGTAGTAGTAGTCGTAGTCGTAGTAGTAGAAGTAGTAGTAGTAGTAGTAGTAGTAGTAGTAGTAGTAGTAGTGGGTGGTAGTAACGGTGGTAGTGTTAGTGGTAGTAGCAGTAGTAGTAGTAGTAGTAGTAGTAGTAGTAGTAGTCGTAGTAGTCGTAGTAGAAGAAGAAGAAGTAGTAGTAGTAGTAGTCGTAGTAGTAGTAGTAGTAGTAGTAGTAGTAATAGTAGTAGTAGTAGTAGTAGTAGTAGTAGCCGTAGTAGTAGTAGTAGTAGTAGTAGTAGTAGTAGTAGTAATAGTAGTAGTAGTGGTAGTTGCTGTTGTTGTAATAGTAGTAGAAGTAGTAGCACTTGATGATAGTACTTAGGGGGATGATGATGATGCTGCTGATGATGATGTGGTTAGTAGATTCAATCAACGATTCGTACCTTCCCCAATGATCATGAAGCTCGGCCCCGCCACTCCACACCACCGACCAAAACTGCAGTGGCCAGGGATAACCACACTCAGGTCTTAAACGGGGGTGATTCTTGATCATCTGGGGCCTGCGTACTCGAATCCTACCGGCCGCTCAACTCGGAGCGGGCGGTCTCCGTCGCGCTCGTCGCTGGCCCCCGCCCGGGAAAGGCCCCTCTCCGGCCCAGGGCCGCGGTCCCATGCGCGCCCCTGCGGAGGGATAAGACGCCGACCCCGTGCTCTGCCAAACTCGGCCTGCCTCTCGCGCCGCGCTGACGCGCGAAGCGCGGCCCTCTTCGCGCTCGTCGCTCACAACGCCCACCTGCGGCAAGGCTGCCCTCTTGCCGGGGCCGCGGATCGCGGTCGCGCGCGCGCACCTGCGGGGCGAAACGCACCGGGGAAGGGCAGGGCCCCCAGGGTCGGACGTGGAGTGCCGCCCGAGGGCACGAAGGAGGCAGAGTCCGAGAAGAGAGCGAGCTTGAGCACGGGGCACGGCGAATTCTCGGCCCCCCTTGCGACAACCCCCCTTTGCGACAATCTTTCCGAGCAGGACGGGGCAGCCGTGGCGTTGCACAAGGCAGCGGCAAAGTGAGACTAGGCGAGATGCGGAAGCACCCAGTACGCAGCAAATGGCAAGAGGCCAGCGCCAATGTCCTACAGGCCCCTCGTCACAGTGACTTCTCGACCTGTCCTATAGAGGCCCCGAGGCGGAGCGCGGCTACCACCGAAAGTCCTGCCTCTCCAGGCTGCCCTTCGCGAGGTCGCCGCCCCTGGGGGTCATGTTCCAGGTGACGACACAGGCGAACAGCAGCAGGCCGCCGCAGAAGGTCATGACGCTGCCCAGGCCCAGCGTCGCCTGCACCGTGGGGAACAGCCCCGTGCCGACGGCAGCGCCCACCTTGCCGCACGCGGCGGACAGCCCGACGCACGTCCCCCTGGCGACGGCGGGGAAGCTCTCGGTCGGAACCAGGTAGGTCGTGATGCCGACCTGCGCGTGCGCCACGGCGTTCACGCAGAAGATGGCGACAAGCAGCCAGGCCATGCTCTGCGGAAGGACCCCGAGCAGCGTCCCGTTGACCAGGTTGCAGGTCGCCATCCCGGCGAATCCGATGAGCTGGTGGCCGCAGCGGGAGGTCTTTGCCTCAAGCACGAAGCCGACGAGGTTGCCCATGGCCGCGCAGATGCCCAGAACCAAGGCGAACCACGCGTCCCTGGACACAGCACTGTAGACGCTGTTGCCAGCGAGCCCCAGCATCTGCTCGCAGATGATTGACGAGAACGTGCTCTGGCCGTAGCCGACAAAATTGAATAGCATCCAGGAAACGCACGCCCCGGTGAACACGTGCCACTTCGATCTGAACACCTTCAGAGGAATAACAACTGCATAAACATAAACTTCCGGAGGTCCGCGCGGATTTCTTGGCTCTACGCTGAACCACCCTTTCTCGCGCGGAGCGCGCCAGGGGTGGCGCCGAGGGCGCCGCAAAGGGGCTCCAGCGCAGATCCAAGAGACCCGCGAGGGCAATCGAACGTTCAATGCTCACGTTGCTTTTTGTTATTCGAACCTCCCGAATCTCGTGCCACTGCTCACCATGGCCGTGGCCCGCCGCTGGCGCCGCGGCCTCCTCTCGGCGGAGGAGAAACCTCCCTTGAGTAAACCTCCCCTTAGCGAAAGCGGCCTGGGACCGAAACCGACGGACCTGGACCCGCAAACATGACGGCCGCGACGCCCTCTCGCGAACCGAAGACGGCCAATTCCTTCATCGACGTGCCAGGACAGGAGGTCTGTCCGCCTCCGATCCTCAGGCTCGTGCATCTGGAGGCGCAGCGCGAAGGCGAGCACGGAGGGCACGGCCCCGCACGCCAGCGCCAGGCGCCACACCGCCTCCAGGCCGACCCCCGCGGACAGGAGGCTGAGGACCAGCACCGCCTGCTGCGGCAGCTCAGGGGAGCCCCCCACTGTAGGGGCCCTGAGACACACAAATAAACACACACTAATAAAACAAATCTCCATATTTTCATATATTTTCTGGGTTTCTGTCTTTCCCCCTCCACTGCCCATATTTTCCCATATTTTCGGGGGAATCGACGATTAATTGTGTCTGTGTGTTTTTTCTCCTCCTGACCCACACCATCTTGTCGGCTCTTGCGAATCGACGCCAGTCGACGCTGAATCGACGCTCATCGGAGCTAAGTCGACGCCGCTGATCGACGCTTGCCGACGCTAAATCGGCGCTATCTCATCGACTCCCAAACGCTAATGGGCGCCGATCGACGCTGAAGACGGAATTACGAGGGTATTCAAGGCTCCCATGATCTGCTGCCGAAGCCGCCTGCAGAATCACGCCGACGTTGAACATCAGCACGTTCACGATGAGCAGTTGGGGGCGCGTGAGGCACAGGTCGTGTCCCGCCTCCTTGCTGATGGCCGCCGACAAGGGATACTCTCCCCCGACCCCGAGGCCCAGCAGCAGCCGGCAGGTCATCAGCTGCAGACTGATGCCGCCCCTACCAGAGTCGCTGACGCAGGCGGAGAGTAGCGCACCGGCAATCACCAGCACCGCGGTGGCAATGGACGCGCGCCTCCGGCCGAGGATGTCGGCCACCGTGCCGAACGTCACCTGGCCGACGACGACCCCGATGAGAGTCCGCCAGTCCCTCGGAGGTTGCTCGGCGTGTGAAACGGCTGCCCCTCCTCTCTCGTCCTCCTCCTCTTCCTCCACCTCCTCCACCTCCTCCTCATCTCGATACATGCTCCCAGGTGCCCCCTGACCCAAGCAGCACAACTCGCCTCAATCCCTGGGGAACCCAATGTTTTTGAGGAGTCGTCGTGTTCTTCTTCGCAGCATATAAAGGACGGCCCAAGAGGCGCCCAAGCTCGTGTCCAGAACCGCCCAAGAGGACCCTAAGAAAACCCCAAGACAACCAAAAGAAGCCCCCGAGACGGCCCAACAGGGCTCCCAGGAGGCCCGCGAACCCCTCAAGATGGCCGTCCACAGGTCTGCACAACGGACTCCAAAGGCGCCGGAGGGCCCCAGAGATCCCCAAGACGGTTCCAGACGCTCCCAAGAGGCCCCACAAGGCTCCCACAATGACCACAAGGGCCCCCAACATGCCCCCAAGGAGCTCCTAAGAGGGCTCCAAAAACTTTACGCCAACACGTCCAGATGCACATTCTCGTCGGGTTTCGGGGTTTCACCTCATCACCATGCGGTGACAACGCGGTGGTCAGATTCCTCAGCGAGTTTCCTGCGCTTGCTTTTTTCACCGCAGGCAGCGCGCACGATTTGCGAACGCCCTCTGTCCCCCCCCTGTGAGAACAACAGGACTACTGTCGGGCGTTGGCAGAACTGGGTTGACTGGTATCTGGTTTAATGATGTGTACTGGGGGACGCCCCCCCGCCCCGTTCCACTAACCGGAACTGCCGTCACCCGGAAAAACGCCAGCTACGGCAGACCTGGTTTAGTGATTCTGGCCGATTTAGGAGCTCCGGGACCCTACCACTAACCAGGTCCCCTTACCTGGGGTCCTGGCTATACCCGATACTGGTGCAAACTATCGTGTCCGGCGCGAAGCCGCCTGGAGAAAAATAAGGAGTTCCCTGCGCTTGCCGCCGTCCGGGCAGCTCCCTGCCTCCGCGGGGCGCGCTTCGCATGTAATATGGTCGAGGCGTCCGTCCCGCCTCTTAATTAGCACTCTGCGCATGCCACCGGGCTGCCTCGCGTTTGGCTCCAAGTGCGCCGGACGGTGCAAAGAGCGCCCGACGACGCTTCCAGACGCCCCAAAGAGATGCCCCAAGAGGCGCCCGGCAGGCACCCAAGAGGCCCCAGGATGCCCCCAAGAAGCCACCCAACATGAGCACACTAGATGGAACTCGAGCTGACATTTCGGACCCTCCACCCCAAAATGCCTCCCGAGGCTGCCAGCAGGCCCCCAGGAATCCAACGAGAGGCCTGAAGAAGCCCCCACGAAATCTCAAGAAGCCGAAGCACCCCACGGGGTCGGCGGTACGGCGTAAGCCCGTGGATCATGCAGGCGATCAGGCCCTGGCCAGAGACGTTGATGCTCTCGGGGTAGAGCTTCGTCAAGATCGCCAGGGATATGTTGATCACCTCGATGTCACTCCCCCCAACGCTGACCCCTTCTCCATTCACCTCCCCCTCCTTCCGCTCCCCAGAATGTTCCATCCCACCACCACCCCACCGCATCACCCCTTCGTCGCTACTCCCATGCAAAACGACTCCCATCCGCCCCGTTTCTGATCTTCCATTTGAGTAGGGACCGACCGTCCCGGCATTCCTATAGTCCTACCGCGAAATATTCTTAGAACCCCAAAGTGTTCTCAGAACAAAAACAAGCACAAAAGGTTCTTAGAACATTGTGTGGTGGGGCTATAGGTGAGCCAGGACGCTTCGCCACTGCTTGATCCCTGGCGCTCCCCCTCCATGGGCCAGGAGCAAGTGACCCCACCGCGCCGAGTCTGCATGGGGACCCCTGCTGCCCCTCGGCCGGCTGTCCGCGCCGCGGTCGATGTGCCACCCCGGGCCACCCGACCAGGAGGTCCGACGCTGCGAAAAAACGATGCAGCATCGCAACAGAGAGCACGACCGGAGCCCCAGACCCCCATCTTCCTGCATCATTCTTCGAGCCGGATCGATCCACGAGGGTCCCGGGGCCCAGAACTGGGCGGGGAAGCCCAGCTCGGAAAAGTTGCCACGCCAGGATCCCAAGGGAGGCCACCCGACAGAATCCGAGGCTGTACGATCACGCCGGAGCCTGCCCGAGGCCGCCGGGACGCAGAGCACCCCAGCAGCTGCTCCGACAAGAGGCGGCCTCCCGCAGGCTCCAGGCACGGCGTGCGGGCTCCGGCTGCGGCGGTGTGCGCTCCTGGCGTCTCTGCCACTGCGCGGCTCGCTCAACCTCTGGGCAGCTCCACAGGAACGACGATCGACAACGGGTCTTACGCGAGATGACGCAGCGACCTTGCGCCGCAGCTTTCGCGGGCGCTCACGCGCGACCTTCCGCGGGCAGCTCACGCGCCAATGTCGGCGCAGACGACCCCGCTTATTCGAGTCGCTCACATCCATAGCCTACAACAGGCGGTGTCTATCTTCTGGGCGTTTTCCTTGAAAAGGTTGCTCAACTTCTAAAAGGTTTTGTGTCTATGTCTTCGTGCCGCGAACACACTGTAAAAACACAAGCGGAAAAGAAATAGAAATGGACACGGAGTGTGGGTTTTCAAAATAGGCACGAATATATTGAACACCAGACGCGAAATTGTATCAAACATAAACGAAAATAAGCACGCGTACTCAACGAACACGAATGAGGCACGAAAAGACACGAACACATAGCAGGGCACGGGCTCGCGCAAAAAGACAACGAATGATAGACACGCTTGCGGGTGTGTCTGCATGTGTATATAAACCGACGTACGTGTACGGAAACCTACACGTAGTAATGTACACATGCACACCCAGGTGTGAGGGATCCCATGGTATGGGGAGAGTGGGGGATGAGCGGCGAGGATTGCGAAGGAAAGGGGAGAGTTTGGAGGAGCGCTGCGGAGTGCGATGGAGTGCGGGGGGGCCTGGAGGAGTGAGAAGGAATGCCGAGGAGTGCGATGAAGATCAGGAGGAGAGGCGAAGAGCGCGGTTGAGTGGAGAGGGGTGGCGTGGAGCGCCGTGGAGTGCGACGGGGTGGGCTGGAGTCTGGAGGAAGGCGGGGGTCGCCGAGGAGTGCGAGAGCCTGGCGAGAAGTCGGCAAGAGTCGGAAGGACTGCCGACGAGCGAGATGGAACGAGGAGTCTAGAGTAGCGAGGAGAGCCGAGGAGTAGATTGGGAAGGAGTTCGCAGAAAAGCCGAGGGTTACTATGGAGAGGGGAGAAGTCGGGGAGTTTGGTGGAACGCCGAGGAGTGCGATGGACTGGGGAAGAACCCGTCGGAGTGGGAAGAAGCACTGGGGCGTGCGATGGAGTGGGGAGGACTCCGAGGAGAGCGCCATGCATGCATACATGTATACATGTACACACGCGCGAAACAATCGCTCTCCAATGTGGATAGATCGCAGGAAGGAAAGCAGACAAGCGTTCCAAAAAATAGGCACGACGGGATAGGCACGGATAGTTGAAAACTATGAAACTAGACATGGATAGACACTAACCAATAGACACGTTTTGCAAACATGGGCACGCTTCATGTTAGACACAGATCGACACGGCATGTGAGGATGTCTCAAGCCGTTGGTCCAGTTTCTACGAAGCTAGACACGAAAACCTTACACAATTCAGTTTTATGGAACCTCGGAAACTGCGTGGGACATCATGACGACCCCGAATCTAATTTCTGTTTTTGGGGCGTCTTGTAGGCTAGAGCTGGGGGTGGCGGAGATGGGGGGGCGACCGGCCACCGCTTTTGAAAGTCTGACAGCTCTCCAGAGACATTTCTTTAATCGGCGGTTATCCGGGTGGAGGGGAAGGAGAGGGCTGGCCGATAACCTAACCTTCGCGCTGTGGGCAGCCCTGCATATGCCCGCGCCCCCCCACCCCGGACCTGCACAACCGGCAAAGTTAGGTTGTCCTGGGGGGGGGGAGGGAGGACAAGCCCGATAACCCGGGTTATCGCCGGACCGTAACAAAAACTGTCTCCAAAACACTACCAACTCGCCGTGTGGCGCCACCCCCGTGCGGAGCTGATTGGAACTCCGTCGCCAGGGGGACCCCCAGAGGCCGTCGTCCCCCGTTCACGAGCGGCGACTCTGTCCGTATCCGCGCCCTAGCAGTCTGGATCCTGGGCGCGATCCCGCGGATACGCAGCCGCACGGACAGATCCCGCGCGGGGCGGCGGAGACAGAGCGCCCTGTACCCGCGGGGTCGCCGCCCAGGGGCCCGGTCCC